CTAAGTAAAGCTTGGCTAAGTAGAGCTAGGTTAAGTAGATCTAGGCTAAGTAGAGCTTGGCAAAGTAGAGCTTGGCTAAGTAGAGCTAGGCTAAGTAGAGCTAGGCTAAGTAGAGCTTGGCTAAGTAGAGCTAGGCTAAGTAGAGTTTGGCTAAGTTGAGGTAGGCTAAGTAGAGCTTGGCTAAGTAGAGCTTGGCTAAGTAGAGCTAGGCTAAGTAAAGCTTGGCTAAGTAGAGCTAGGCTAAGTAAAGCTTGGCTAGGTAGAGCTAGGCTAAGTAGAGCTTGGCTAAGTAGAGCTAGGCTAAGTAAAGCTTGGCTAAGCAGAGCTTGGCTAAGTAGAGCTATGCTAAGTAGAGCTTGGCTAAGTAGAGCTTGGCTAAGTAGAGCTTGGCTAAGCAGAGCTTGGCTAAGTAGAGCTAGGCGAAATAGAGCTAGGCTAAGTAGAGCTAGGCTAAGTAGAGCTAGGCTAAGTAGAGGTAGGCTAAGTAGGGCTAGGCTAAGTAGAGCTAGGCTAAGTAGAGCTAGGCTAAGTAGAGCTTGGCTAAGTAGAGCTAGGCTAAGTAGAGCTAGGCTAAGTAGAGCTTGGCTAAGTAGAGCTTGGCTAAGTAGAGCTAGGCTAAGTAGAGCTAGGCTAAGTAGAGCTAGGCTAAGTAGAGCTAGGCTAGGTAGAGGTAGGCTAAGTAGGGCTAGGCTAAGTAGAGCTAGGCTAAGTAGAGCTAGGCTAAGTAGAGCTAGGCTAAGTAGAGCTAGGCTAAGTAGAGCTAGGCTAAGTAGAGCTTGGCTAAGTAGAGCTAGGCTAAGTAGAGCTAGGCTAAGTAGAGCTTGGCTAAGTAGAGCTTGGCTAAGTAGAGCTAGGCTAAGTAGAGCTTGGCTAAGTAGAGCTAGGCTAAGTAGAGCTTGGCTAAGTAGAGCTAGGCTAAGTAGAGCTAGGCTAAGTAGAGCTTGGCTAAGTAGAGCTTGGCTAAGTAGAGCTAGTCTAAGTAGAGCTTGGCTAAGTAGAGCTAGGCTAAGTAGAGCTTGGCTAAGGAGGATCGAGGAACTTGTTCAGAAGATTATGTCTAACGTCCTGGTTGTCATTATTATATCATGGCGTCCAGGCAGGTACCTGCGTCCAGGCAGGTACCTGCGTCCAGGCAGGTACCTGCGTGCAGGCAGGTACCTGCTTGCAGGCAGGTACCTCCGTCCAGGCAGGTACCTCCGTCCAGGCAGGTACCTGCGTGCAGGCAGGTACCTTCGTCCAGGCAGGTACCTGCGTCAGGCAGGTACCTCCGTCCAGGCAGGTACCTCGTCACAGTACTGCAGGCAGGTCCTCCGTCCAGGCAGGTACCTGCGTGCAGGCAGGTACCTCGTCCAGGCAGGTACCTGCGTGCAGGCAGGTACCTGCGTCAGGCAGGTACCTCCGTCCAGGCAGGTATCGCGCCCTCCGTCCAGGCAGGTACCTCCGTCCAGGCAGGTACCTCCGTCCAGGCAGGTACCTGCGTGCAGGCAGGTACCGTCGTCCAGGCAGGTACCTCCGTCCAGGCAGGTACCTCCGTCCAGGCAGGTACCTGCGTGCAGGCAGGTACCTGCGTGCAGGCAGGTACCTGCGTGCAGGCAGGTACCTCCGTCCAGGCAGGTACCTCCGTCCAGGCAGGTACCTCCGTCCAGGCAGGTACCTCGTCGAGTACCTCGTCCAGGCAGTACCTGCGTCAGGCAGGTACCTCCGTCCAGGCAGGTACCTCCGTCAGGCAGGTACCTCCGTCCAGGCAGGTACCCTCCAGCAGTACCCGTCCAGGCAGGTACCTCCGTCCAGGCAGATACTGACAGTACCTGTCCAGGCAGGTACCTCCGTCCAGGCAGTACCTCCGTCCAGGCAGTACCTGCGTGCAGGCAGGTACCTCCGTCCAGGCAGGTACCTCCGTCCAGGCAGGTACCTCCGTCCAGGCAGATACCTGCGTGCAGGCAGGTACTCCGTCAGCGTACCTCAGGCAGGTACCTCCGTCCAGGCAGGTACCTTCCAGTACCAGGCAGGATACCTGCGTGCAGGCAGGTACCTGCGTCGCAGGCAGGTACCTCCGTCCAGGCAGGTACCTCCGTCCAGGCAGGTACCCTCCGTCCAGGCAGTACCTCGTCCAGGCAGGTACCTCGTGCAGGCAGGTACCCGTCAGGCGTCCTCGTCAGGCAGGTACCTCCGTCCAGGCAGGTACCTCCGTCCAGGCAGGTACCTCCGTCCAGGCAGGTACCTCCGTCCAGGCAGGTACCTCCGTCCAGGCAGGTACCTCCGTCCAGGCAGGTACCTCCGTCCAGGCAGTACCTCGTCAGGCAGGTACCTCCGTCCAGGCAGGTACCTCCGTCCAGGCAGGTACCTCCGTCCAGGCAGGTACCTGCGTCCAGGCAGGTACCTCCGTCCAGGCAGGTACCTCCGTCCAGGCAGGTACCTCCGTCCAGGCAGTACCTGCGTGCCAGGCAGGTACCTCCGTCCAGGCAGGTACCTCCGTCCAGGCAGATACCTGCGTGCAGGCAGGTACCTCCGTCCAGGCAGGTACCTCCGTCCAGGCAGGTACCTCCGTCCAGGCAGATACCTGCGTGCAGGCAGGTACCTCCGTCCAGGCAGGTACCTCCGTCCAGGCAGGTACCTCCGTGCAGGCAGGTACCTGCGTGCAGGCAGGTACCTCCGTCCAGGCAGGTACCTCCGTCCAGGCAGGTACCTCCGTCCAGGCAGATACCTGCGTGCAGGCAGGTACCTCCGTCCAGGCAGGTACCTCCGTCCAGGCAGGTACCTGCGTCCAGGCAGGTACCTGCCTGGACGCAGGTACCTGGCAGCCACAACACCACCAACACACCGTGTGTTGAATAACCCCCACGGGTTTCATACTTCTTAACAATAATATATTAAAATTACTACTACTCCTCCTCATAATAACAACAATAATAATAATAATAATAATAATAATAATAATAATAATAATAATAATAATAATAATAATAATAATAATAGGAGCATAACTGTTAAACAGTCTAATAATAACTTCTCTTATAACTCCATTTATAAACATTCCTCAATATAAACAATAATACTTATTATTATACCCGGTCAATGAGATATGACTTTATTTGTGAAAGAAAGACGTAATTATGATGCGCCGGGATAACAATAATTATTACGTGACACTACTACCTCACATCTCTGATCTTCCTAACATTAACATTCTCGATAATAAACCTTGAAATGAATAAAATGAGAGAGTGGAGCAGCGAAGGCGCCATCTTAGTCAATATATGTGACAGGTGAATTATACAATAAATGTTTTTGCCATAATTTACAAGTTTTAAGAGATCAGTACGAAACAAAATGAGATTTATAAATGAAAGATTCTGGAGGATTGTTGTGAGAGTGATGAGTCACCAGTTGTGTTGATGTAGTCTGTGATGATTCACCAGTTGTGTTGATGTAGTCTGTGATGAGTCACCAGTTGTGTTGACGTAGTCTGTGATGATTCACCAGTTGTGTTGATGTAGTCTGTGATGATTCACCAGTTGTGTGATGTAGTCTGTGATGAGCCACCAGTTGTGTTGATGTAGTCTGTGATGATTCACCAGTTGTGTTGATGTAGTCTGTGATGAGTCACCAGTTGTGTTGCTGTAGTTTGTGATGATTCACCAGTTGTGTTGATGTAGTCTGTGATGATTCACCAGTTGTGTTGATGTAGTCTGTGATGATTCACCAGTTGTGTTGATGTAGTCTGTGATGAGCCACCAGTTGTGTTGATGTAGTCTGTGATGAGTCACCAGTTGTGTTGACGTAGTCTGTGATGATTCACCAGTTGTGTTGACGTAGTCTGTGATGATTCACCAGTTGTGTTGATGTAGTCTGTGATGATTCACCAGTTGTGTTGATGTAGTCTGTGATGAGTCACCAGTTGTGTTGACGTAGTCTGTGATGATTCACCAGTTGTGTTGATGTAGTCTGTGATGAGTCACCAGTTGTGTTGATGTAGTCTGTGATGAGCCACCAGTTGTGTTGATGTAGTCTGTGATGATTCACCAGTTGTGTTGATGTAGTCTGTGATGAGTCACCAGTTGTGTTGATGTAGTCTGTGATGAGTCACCAGTTGTGTTGACGTAGTCTGTGATGATTCACCAGTTGTGTTGATGTAGTCTGTGATGATTCACCAGTTGTGTGATGTAGTCTGTGATGAGCCACCAGTTGTGTTGCTGTAGTTTGTGATGATTCACCAGTTGTGTTGATGTAGTCTGTGATGATTCACCAGTTGTGTTGCTGTAGTTTGTGATGGCTCACCAGTTGTGTTGATGTAGTCTGTGATGAGTCACCAGTTGTGTTGCTGTAGTCTGTGATGATTCACCAGTTGTGTTGACGTAGTCTGTGATGATTCACCAGTTGTGTTGCTGTAGTTTGTGATGGCTCACCAGTTGTGTTGACGTAGTCTGTGATGATTCACCAATTATGTTGACGAACTCTACTGTACGTGCATGTGTGTGTTGACCTGTCAGGTGTGTTCACAGTATGTGTGTCGATCTGTTAGGTGTGTTGATGGTGTGTGTGTGGTGATAGAGAGCGAGTGAGTGTGTTGACTTATCAGGTGTGTTGACAGTGTACTGACTTACCAGGTGTGTTGACAGAGTGTATTGATTTACCAGGTGTGTTGACAGAGTGCAATGACTTACCAGGTGTGTTGACAGAGTGTGTAGACTTACCAGGTGTGTTGACAGAGTGTGTAGACTTACCAGGTGTGCTGACAGAGTGTGTTGACTCATCAGGAGTATTGACAGAGTGCGTTGACTTGCCAGGTGTGTTGACAGAGTGTGCTGACTTTCCAGGTGTGTTGACAGGGTGTGTAGACTTGCCAGGTGTGTTGACAGGGTGTGTAGACTTGCCAGGTGTGTTGACAGGGTGTGTAGACTTACCAGGTGTGTTGACATGTGGTGTAGACTTACCAGGTGTGTTGACAGAGTGTGTTGACTCACCAGGTGTATTGACAGAGTGCGCTGACTTACCAGGTGTGTTAGAGTGTGTTGACTCACCAGGTGTGTTGAGGTAGTCTGAGTGTGACTCTCTTCCAGTGGGTAAACTCAGAACCATGGTAGATGGTACCACGTGTGAAGTGTGACTGACAACCAGGTGTAGATGGTGAACATGGTCGGTGCACCAGCTGCCAGGTGATCCCGTGGTTCACAGAGTATTCCAGCACCACCTGTAACACACACACTGTCACCACCTGTAGTACACACACACGCACACACACACACACACACACACACACACACACACACACACACACACACACACACACACACACACACACCCTGAGCAGTTCAGACATTGAGGACATCACTTACGAGAGGCCCCTTGGAGCTAGCGATCATGTGGTTCTGAGTTTTGACTATATAGTAGAGTTACAAGTGGAGAAGGTAACAGGAACTGAAGGGGACAGGCCAAACTATAAAAGGGGGGACTACACAGGTATGAGAAACTTCCTGCAGGAGGTTCAGTGGGGCAGAGAAATGGTAGGAAAATCAGCAAACGAGATGATGGAATATGTGGCAACAAAGTGCAAGGAGGCAGAGGAAAGTTTTGTTCCCAAGGGAAACAGAAATAATAGGAAGACCAAAACGAGTCCTTGGTTTACCCGAAGGTGTAGGGAGGCAAAAACTAAGTGCAACAGAGAATGGAAAAGGTACAGGAGGCATAGGACCCAGGAAAACAAGGAGATTAGTAGAAGAGCCAGAAACGAGTATGCGCAGATAAGGAGGGAGGCCCAGCGACAGTATGAAAACGACATAGCATCGAAAGTCAAATCTGACCCGAAACTGCTGTATAGCCACATTAGGAGGAAGACAACAGTCAAGGACCAGGTGATAAGGCTGAGGAAAGAAGGTGGAGAACTCACAATAAACGATCAAGAGGTATGTGAGGAGCTCAACACGAGATTTAAGGAAGTATTTACAGTAGAGACAGGAAGGACTCTAGGGGGACAGACCAGATGGGGGCACCAGCAAGGAATACACCAACAAGTGTTGGACGACATACATACAGATGAGGAGGAGGTGAAGAAACTGCTAAGGGACATCGATACCTCAAAGGCAATGGGACCGGACAACATCTCTCCGTGGGTCCTTAGAGAGGGAGCAGATATGTTGTGCGTGCCACTTACCACAATCTTCAACACATCCCTGGAAACTGGGCAACTACCTGAGGTATGGAAGACGGCAAATGTAGTTCCCATTTTCAAAAAAGGAGACAGAAAAGAGGCACTAAACTATAGACCTGTGTCATTGACGTGTATAGTATGCAAAATTATGGAGAAGATTATCAGGAGGAGAGTGGTGGAGCACCTGAACGGAACAGGAGTATAAATGCCAACCAGCACGGATTCACGGAAGGCAAATCCTGTGTCACAAACCTTCTGGAGTTTTATGATAAAATAACAGAAGTAAGACAAGAGAGAGAGGGATGGGTTGATTGCATCTTCTTGGACTGCAAGAAGGCCTTTGACACAGTTCCTCACAAGAGATTAGTGCAGAAGCTAGAGCATCAGGCGCATATAACAGGAAGGGCACTGCAATGGGTCAGAGAATACCTGACAGGGAGGCAACAACGAGTCATGGTACGTAATGATGTATCACAGTGGGCACCTGTGACGAGCGGGGTCCCACAGGGGTCGGTCCTAGGACCAGTGCTATTTTTGGTATATGTGAACGACATGACGGAAGGGTTAGACTCAGAAGTGTCCCTGTTTGCAGATGATGTGAAGTTAATGAGGAGAATTAAATCTGATGAGGACCAGGCAGGACTTCAAAGAGACCTGGACAGACTGGACACCTGGTCCAGCAAATGGCTTCTCGAATTTAATCCTGCCAAATGCAAAGTCATGAAGATAGGGGAAGGGCACAGAAGACCACAGACAGAGTATAGGCTAGGTGGCCAAAGACTGCAAACCTCACTCAAGGAGAAAGATCTTGGGGTGAGTATAACACCGAGCATGTCTCCGGAAGCACACATCAATCAGATAACTGCTGCAGCATATGGGCGCCTGCAAACCTGAGAACAGCATTCCGATACCTTAGTAAGGAATCATTCAAGACACTGTACACCGTGTATGTCAGGCCCATACTGGAGTATGCAGCACCTGTTTGGAACCCGCACTTGATAAAGCACGTCAAGAAACTAGAGAAAGTACAAAGGTTTGCGACAAGGTTAGTTCCAGAGCTAAGGGAATGTCCTATGAAGAAAGATTAAGGGAAATCGGCCTGACGACACTGGAGGACAGGAGGGTCAGGGGAGACATGATAACGACATATAAAATACTGCGTGGAATAGGCAAGGTGGACAAAGACAGGATGTTCCAGGGAGGGGACACAGAAACAAGAGGCCACAATTGGAAGTTGAAGACACAAATGAGTCAGAGAGATAGTAGGAAGTATTTCTTCAGTCATAGAGTTGTAAGGCAGTGGAATAGCCTAGAAAATGACGTAGTGGAGGCAGGAACCATACACAGTTTTAAGACGAGGTTTGATAAAGCTCATGGAGCGGGGAGAGAGAGGGCCTAGTAGCAACCGGTGAAGAGGCGGGGCCAGGAGCTAGGACTCGACCCCTGCAACCACAAATAGGTGAGTACAAATAGGTGAGTACACACACACACACACACACATACACACACACACACACACACACACACACACACGCACACACAGGTATGATATAAAGCTCACGGTTCAGGGAGAGTGACCTTGTAGCGACCAGTGAAGAGGCGGGGCCAGGAGCTAGGACTCGACCCCTGCAACCTCAACTAGGTGAGTACAACTAGGTGAGTACACACACCGTCACCACCTGTAACACACATACCGTCACCAACTGTAACACGCACACCGTCACCACCTGTAACACAAACACACACATACACTCCACAGACACACAATCTCCCACACATACAGACATACAAACACACACACACACACACACACACACACACACACACACACACACACACCACACACACACACACACACACCAGGAGCTGAGTCTCGACCCCTGCAACTACAATTAGATGAGTATGTGAGTACAAACCACACAAACCCCCCTCGTCGGGAGGCCCAAAGACAATACAAAAACGACATAACAGCGACAGCCAAATCTAACCCGAAGCTGTAGTACAGCCACATCAGGAGGAAAACAACAGTCATGGACCAGGTAATCAGGCTAAGGAAGGAACGAGAGGAGATCACAAGAAGCGACCGAGAAATATGTGAGGAGTTCAACATGAGATTCAAACAAGTGTTCACAGAGGAGACAGAAGGGACTCCAGAAAGACGGAGAGATGAGGGGTCACCATCAAGTGGTGGACACAATACATATAACCGAGGAAAAAGTGAAAAGGCCGCTAAGCGAGCTAGATACCTCAAAGGCGATGAGACCAGATAACATCTCTCCATGGGTCCAAAGAGGGAGCAGAGGCGCTATGTGTACCACAAATAACAATCTTAAAACATCTATCGAAATAGGGCGACTACCTGAGGTATGGAAGACAGCAAATGTAGGCCCAGTCTTTAAAAAGGAGACAGACATGAAGCATTAAACTACAGACCAGTGTCACTGACATGTATAGTATGCAAAGTCATGGAGAAGATTATCAGAAGAGTGGTGGAGCAACTAGAAAGAAATGAACTTATCAACGACAACCAGCATGGTTTCAGAGACGGGAAATCATGTGTCACAAACATACTGGAGCTCTATGACAGGGTGACAGCAGTAAGGCTTTGACACAGTTCCACACAAAAAAATTGTGCATAAGCTGGAGAACCAGGTAAGTATAACAGGGAAGGCACCGCAATGGATCAGGGAATACCTGTCAGAAAGGCAGCAGCGAGTCATGGTACGTGACGAGGTGTCAGAGTGGAAGCCTGTGACGAGCGGGGTTCCACAGGGGTCAGTCCTAGGACCGGTCCTGTTTCTGGTATTTGTGAACGACATGACTGAAGTAATAGACTAAGAAGTGTCCCTGTTTGCAGATGATGTGAAGTTGATGAGAATAAGTCAATCGGACGAGGACCAGGAGGAACTACAAAGGAATCTGGACAGGCTGCAGGCATGGTCAAGAAACTCTCTCTTAGAGTTCAACCCCACCATGTGCAAAGTCATGAAGACCGGGGAAGGGCAAAGAAGACCGCAGACGGAATACAGACTAAAGGGTCAGAGACTACAAACCTCACTCAAGGAAAAAGGATGTTAGGTTGAGTAGAACACAGGGTTCGGTTCTTGAGACGCACATCAACCAAACAACTGCTGCAACATATGAGCGCCTACCAAACACAACAATAAAACTCCGACGTCTCAATAAGGAATCGTTCAGGACCCTGTACACCGTATATGTCAGGCTTATACTAGAGGATGCAGCACCATTTTCGAACCCACACCTAGCTAAGCACGTTAAGAAATTAGAGAAAGCACAAAGGTTTGCAACAAGACTAGTCCTGGAGCTAAGGGGCATGTCGTACGAGCAGAGGTTAAGGGAAATCGACCTGACGACACTGGAGGACAGAAGAGATGGGGGGATATGATAACGACATATAAAATACTGAGAGGAATCAACAAGATAGACAGAGACAGAATGTTCCAGAGATGGGACACAGCAACAAGGGGTCACAATTAGAAGTTGAAGACTCAGATGAGTCACAGGGATGTTAGGAAGTATTTCTTTAGCCATAGAGCTGTCAGGAAGTGGAAAAGTCTGGAAAGTGATGTAGTGGAGGCAGGATCCATACATAGCTTTAAGAAGAGGTATGATGAAGCTCATTGAGCAGGGAGAGTGACGTAGTAGCGACCAGTGAACAGGCGGAGCCAGGAGCTGTGATTCGACCCCTGCAACCACAACTAGGTGAGTATCGTCACCACTTGTAACACACACCCCGTCACTACCTGTAACACACACACACCGTCACTACCTGTAACACACACACACACACCGTCACCACCTGTAACACACACACCCCATCACTACCTGTAACACACACACACCCCGTCACTACCTGTAACACACACACACCGTCATCACCTGTAACACACACACACCGTCAACACCCCGTAACACACACACCCCGTCACTACCTGTAACACACACACACCATCATCACCTGTAACACACACACAAACCCTCAACACCTGTAACACACACACCCCCTCATCACCTGTAACACA